GCTGGGGTCTGTAGGACACAACAGAGTCACATGGCTCAGAGAGACAATATCAGTACAAAAGCAGAACCCTGCTCTTGCTCAGCTCAGTCCTATCGCCACAGGCTAGATAAGGTCAAGGGCGCAGTTTATCTCAGCACTCCGCCTTCACAGCTGAAACCCGCCCGCTTGCAGGAGGCAGGGGCAGTACTGCAGCCTAAGTGCAGTTTAGCCATGACTGTTCTACAGGCTTCCTGCAGGACACTGTGACAGAGCACGATCAGTAGAGCCCATGGCGCAGGCCCGACAAATCCTACCGAGGCTCATGGCAGTGTGAGCTGCTGCCTGTGCATCACTGGGGTCCTGGGCTCCTTTCGTGTGGAGTTTGCATGTTCCTTTGGGTTTCCTCTGAGCGCCCCGGTTCCCTCCCGCCTGTATCCCTGTGAGTGCGGATGTGGGAGTGCTGGTATTGGGGTGTCCGGGGTGTCCAGGGTCTCCAGGAAGCAGCAGGGGATCTGACGGGGAATGGTGATTGCCTGGGATCGTCCTGGTGAACCTGTGTGGGCACGACAGCCCTCCAGGAGGGCAGTGACACCACCAGGGCTCTGCTGGACTCCCCGTGAGGGTCTGCTGCGCGCCCCCAGAGGCTGGCGTGCGAACGCGCGAGTGACCCGCTCGTCAGACCAGGCTGTGCAGCAAAGCCATCTCTTTATTAGAGCAAGCGTCGGCTTTGCCAACCGCAGACTGCCGGAAACGCCGTCAGATCACCGAACAGATGATGTCAGAGACGGGAGAAGTAAGATATAAAACAGCACATGAGAAACAATATAACCGTACAGGAAGAAAGCCTCTCTCCGGCCTCTTCAGTGCCTCCTCAAGTTCCAGTGTCCTGCAGCACATTCCACAGCTCTCACTGCACGGCCCCCCAGCCTCCTTGCAAAGGTCTGAATGTGCTGTGTTGTCACTGCCATGTATTGTGCTGTGTTGTCACTGCCATGTATTGTGCTGTGTTGTCACTGCCTTGAATTGTGCTGTGTTGTCACTGCCATGTATTGTGCTGTGTGGTCATCACCCTGTATTGTCATTACTCTGTATCACCAGCTCTGTACTGTCACAGCCCTGTGGTGTGCAGTGTTGTTACAGCTCTGTGTTGTATTAGCTCTGTGGTGTGCTGTGTTGT